GGTCTTTTCCTCCACATTAATGCTGAGAAGTTTCTGCGTATTTTTCACATCTGAAAATACCAGGAGGATGCAGTATTTTGGCAGATGATTAAGTGAATTAACAGATAAGGATGATCTATTTGTTTTAACTGAAGTAATAAGTACTTTAGTTGAAAGGTATATAAAAATCCCTTTGTTTTCTAAAATCTATCTGTATTATCAAGCTTAACTTTGACCTTGTAAGGAAACAATCACTTTCTTGCCCATTAACCCAGGAAGCAGCACTACCTCCCTCTGAGAGCAGACAACAGCATTGTCCAGAACAATAAGGCAAGATCTTGAAAAGATAAATCCCAAGGAGAGGATGAAAATGAGAACTGTGTGCTTTCCTGTGCCACAACTGCAGCTTACATCTGTCCTGTGGACGTGACAAAAATATGAATAACAAACACAATAGTGAACATAGCATGAAAACCTGAAGAAAACCAAATCACCAAGAGTTTTCTTTTACCATAATTTATCTTCAGGAAATGCATAAATAAAGACTATCACAAAAGCTCATCATTGTTACTGGTCATTTCTACTGGGGTAGGGGGAGTGGCACTCAAATAAATAACAAAGAAAAAGTACTTTTAAAAATGACTTAGAATCTTCTGACCAGGGTCCTAGGCAGAAGGCAAAGGACAGTCCCCTCCACCAAGAAGCAAGGCAAGAAACAGAGCATGCCCAGGATCCCAGGCAGGAGCTGAGGGCCAGCTCCCTCCACCCAGAAGCAGGCAAGAAACATCTTCCCAGGGTCCTAATCAGGAGCCAAAGGCAGCATCCCCAGCCCAGAAGCAGGCAAGAAGCATACTAAAAACACTACTTCCATGTGGATGGACAATCATAGCCACCACTACAGTCACCGTTGCCACAAAGGTGGCTCAATGCCACAGGAGTAGACACAGCCACCATGCTGGTGGCTTGCCAGACACTTTTGATTGCATTGATACAAGGAGAGTCACTAGCAGAGACCAACAAAGAAGAGGACATCTCTCTCTCCTCAAAGCCCCTTCCAGGATAATAGAAGAAGCATCTGCTCACCAGATGACCAAACATCAATGTAGAGACACTAGGAAACCCAAGAAAATATGGCATCACCAAAAGAATACAGTAATTCTCAAATACCTGACACTGCGGAGCAGGAAACCCTTGAAATGACTGAAAAGGAATTCAGAGCAACAATCTTAAGGAAACTCTCTGAGATACGAGAAGACTAAGACAACATAACGAAATGAGAAAAAAAAAATCCAGGATATGAAGGAGAAAATTTACGAAGAGATTAATACCTTAAAAGAGAATGTACCAGAACTCTTGGAACTGAAAGATTTACTCATGGGCCGGCCCGGTGGCGCACTGCTATAGTGCGCCGCTTGGGAAGTGCGGCTGCGCTCCCGCCGAGGGTTCGGATCCCACATACAGACCAGTTCCCGCTCACTGGCTGAGCGAGGCGCGGGAGCAACACCGAGGGCTGCGATCCCGTTGCCGGTCCCAGTCCGGTACGGGCGCGACACTGAGGGTTGTGATCCGTTGCCGGACACGGAAAAAAAAAAAAAAAAGAAAGATTTACTCATTATAGTCACATTATAGTCAAACTGGCAAAGCTCAAAGACAAAGAGAGAATCTTAACAGAAACAAGAGAAAAGTGTCAAGTCACCTATAAGGGAGCTCCTATCAAACTAACAGTAGACTTCTCAACAGAAACTTTACAGGCCAGAAGAAAATGGCATGATATATTCAAAATACTAAAAGAAAATAACTGCCAGCCAAGAATACTATACCCATCAAGGCTATCTTTCAGAAATGAGGGAAAAATTGTATATTTTCCAGACCTACAAACCTGCAGGAGTTCACCACCACACGACCAGCCCTAAAAGAAATCCTCAAGGAAGTCCTGCATCTGGAATCCAAAAAACAACCATCACTGCCACAATTACAGAAGAAAGAACAAAACCCACTGGTAGAAAAAAAATGCAAATGAAGGAGAAAGAAACTAAATCTTACCACCACAAAACATCATAATGACAGTGTAATAATGCCTCTGCTTTGTTCCTGATTTTAGTAATTTCAGTCTTCTCCCTCTTTTTCTTGAACAGTCTAGGTACAGGCTTGCAAATTTTGTTGATCTTTTTAAAGAATCAAGTTTTGGTTCTGTTGATTTTCTCTGTTGTTTTTTAATTCCCTATTTCATTTATTTCTGTTGTAATCTTTGTTATTTCCTACTTCGATCTGCTTTTGGTTTAGTTTTCTCTTCTTATTCTATTTTCTTAAGGTAGATGTTTACATTACTGATTTAAGATTTTTCTCATTTTTCATACAGGTATTTACAAGTATAAATTTTCCTTTATGCACTGCATGAGCCCTGCATCCTAGAAATTTTGATATGTTGAGCTTTGCAAAAACAATTACTCAGAATACATAAGAGCTTCAGTCTCCTGTCAAGATGGTAACTAGCCCAAGTGAAATGAGATCAAAGCATGAATTTGGTAACAAAAGAACAAATAATTAAAACCTATTTGAAAGAGATTCTTTCTTTCTTTCTTTCTTTATTTTGGGGAGGGGGGTGGCTGACTACTACAGCCATCTGAACTCTTGACCTTGATGTTACAAGGCTGCATGCACTCTAACTGGTCTGGCCAGTGGTGACCATAGATGACTGCAACTTGGGGAGGGGAGTTGCTGGAGGTTACTTGAGAATATAGGCTGGAGGACAGGGTTTTAGTTTTCTTCTCCCTCTCCCTTGTGTTCCTCTAGGGCAATCACTTCCTGCTCCTTCCTTGTTATAGATTCAAGCCCAGGCCCAGGACTTAAGTTGCTGGACTCCTTTTTTCTTTTCTTTTCCTTTTTTTTTTTTTTGTCCTTTTTGAGACCGGCTGCACCGCGCTCAGCCAGTGAGCGCTGTGAGCGCACTGGTCATCCCTATATAGGATCCAAACCCAGGGCGGGAGCGCTGCTGCGCTCCCAGCGCCACACTCTCCCGAGTGCGCCACGGGCTCGGCCCAAGTTGCTGAATTTCTTGGGGATAATGCCCTGCTCAGCTGTGGGCTTGATGAGGAGATGTGTGGGATTTCCAATCCCATTTGTTGTTCACTTCTCCACCCAATTCTCTCTCAAACCCCGGGCTTGATGGATTACAATGGAAAGGTGTGCTGCCTCCCAGGGCTTTTCTTTCTAAGAGTTTAGGAGGTGAAATTCCAGGCAGGGAAGTTACCTGGCACAGTGGCAGCAAAGGGAAGTGACCAAAAGTGGCTCTGTAGTGCCTGGAGCTTATTCTCTCCCCTCTCTGTGGATTCACCTGCAAGGAGTGACCTTCCCCAAATACTAGATCAGCTAGAATAATTAATATCTGCAAGAGAACTTAAGCTCAAAAGACAAAATAGTGGATACATGAAAAGTACAGCTACCTCAAAAGAAAGGTAACAAACTGAGCAATACATATCATGCTACTAAAACTGATGGACTAGGGATTTTAAATAAGCATGATTCACATACTCAAGAAAATAATGGGAGATAGTAGCAAAAATAACACAGAAGATGTACAAATAGCAACATGAATGCTTCCTTACTGAAAATATGTAATGCTGCATATAACAATGTTAGAAAAAATCTCTAATTCAATATAATTTACATAAATTAAAAATACATATACACAAAAGAGAATGTTTTACAAGAATATAAACAAAAGTATATACATGAAACCATCATAATGGTGGCCTTTCGAGGGTGAGAAGAATTGAGTGGGGAACGAGGAAAACATGAATTAAACAAATGAACAAAACAAAGAGAAGAGTCTTGAACGGATTGATGTTGAAGTTTCACAAGAGCAGGGATTTTGGTCTGTGCTCTATAAATATTTGTTGAAAACAGGAATAATATGACATGATTTAAGGAATATGATTCTCATCTCTCTGTACCTGAGTTCCGACTATTAGACTCAACCATAAGAAATCACAATTTTTTGTAGGTCAAAAATGGCCAAATATTAGTAATTTAATATAATTTAACCTAATAGAAAGGAGAAAAATGACAATAATTAGTGATACTTACAGAAATATAAATAGTCACTCTAAGGACTTGAGGTAGATAACATGAAAGACAGAAGCAAAGTAGACTACTTTTTCATGATTAATTAAAAACCATAGATGTTGAAATAATTGATATGGGATGATTGTTTTCAAGATAACAGAAGCACTTCAAGAACTATTAATCATAATTTATTATATGTTTTCAAATGGCTACATGAGAGGAGCTCAAATTCTCTCATCACAAGAAACGATAAAATTTTTGCAGTGATGAATATGCTAATCATCTTGATTTGATCATCAGACATTATATACATGTATTGAAATATAACTCTGTACCCCATAAATATGTACAATTAATATATGTGAATTAAAAAATAAACAAATTCATAAAAAAGACAGATTAACAAAGAAAAAAAAAGAACCTAAGTCATCAATACCATTTTCATAAAATGTCAGCTATTTTACTAGTTTATCTAATATCTTTATCTTTTATCATGCTGAGGTGTTTTTAATTGGCAATATTTAAATGGGCCACTCAAAAATTTTTCACCACTGGAATATTTTCCAGAATTCAAAATGCAATTTATATAAGATAAGTTCTGAAGGAAAAAAAAAAAAAAAACAAGTTCAGTCATTTTTGAATGTCTTGAAACTAAGAGAGGCATTTGTGCATTCTTTCAATTTTTTCCCCATTTCCTCTTATCTGTACTCTGAGCAATTATTTCCGTAAAATAAAAAAATTCTTTAATATTTATCAAATATGTCACCAGATCTTATTTTCAACTGAGTTAACCTGAGCTACCCTTTATAACTAAACGTTTTGGGGTTATTTTTAAGTTCTTCCCTGAAAACTTCCTCATTATCCTTTCTGTCATGGCTTGCTGTATAAGGCACACTCGAGAGCTTTATTTTTCACTCAGCAAATATTCCATATTGACTGGTGTAATGAAATAGGCATTATGCTTCCTAAGGATAAAACAAAAAGCATAAGGGTAAAATTATATTTTCATTGTTTCATTGACTATATATTTTTTAATAAGTGGAAAGTCAGGAAAAAGTACATTTGAGAAACAGCTCTGTAATAGGTCAAAGAATTGAAATAAAATGATAAGTTGAGAAAAAAAAGAAAGATGTAGCTTTTGTGATCCCTAGTGAATTAAGCTGTTTCAAGTTTATTTTTGAACCTGCACCTACTAAATGAAAATCTCTGCTTCCAGCAATAAAAAGATGCAATCATTGTTCAATGGGATTTGATAATAACCATAAAGGCTGGAGAATGGCAGCCCAACTCACTTCACTTATCTTCAGTGTACTTTGTGTGAAATAACAGCTTCAACAGAGCCTTTACCTTGACAGTGAAGCGTTTTTTCTTTGGTGGATTCCAAACCGTGCCAGTTGAATGAATGAATGCACGCAACGGGGTCAAGGATGTCACCAACACATACGCTTTAAGAATCACAGTTAGGTCTTCGGCTCTAAAAATTGTTTCATATGGAGCAAGGACTGTTGTTTGATTCCTAAAAAGTAGAACAACATAGTTAATTCTCCATAATTTAGTATTAGACATGCAATTTGCAAATGCACTGTAAACCCTTTCTATCCCTCATTAGACTCCAGCCTTCCGCCCGTGGGTTTCCTAAAAACAATTTCAACTGCTTAGTAGCAACCACCAGGGGGTGTACACATACAGGGAGAAGAGATCAAATTGGTAAGAGATCTCCACTCTGGCAGGCTTAATCAAAAGATTTTTTTAAAAGGAAAAAGGGAAGGAAAATACTACTTGGAAAAAGGTTTAAAGACTTTTGAAAAATTAGTCACCATATCTATGACCTCAGATTCCTCGTAACTGCAACAAAAGTGTAAATTACAGTTTGGGATCAGTGAAACATTTTCTGAAATTTTCCTCTTCTGCCCCTACCTACTTTTGCTCTACCTTTTCCTCTCCATAAAAGATGTTTTTTCAATAGTGGACAGGGCATCAAGAATATGTCAATATATTTTTACCACTAGTTCAATTCTACCTAACACCTTGCTCCCTAAATAACCAGGAGTTAACTTAAGGGATGAAATATTAAGAAAATACTTAGGTCTATGACAGAAAAATAATACTAGTTTAATATTTTGTGATGAAACAAATATATTTTCATCATAAATGATACCAAAATGTATAACTATATGCTTTTCTGCACTGTGTTTCTATTTGTTAAGTATGTAAGTTTGATCAATTAAAAAATTGTTCTGTTTTAACTTTTGAAGTTTAGATAAGCACGAGATGCATATGATTACTAAAAAATACTATTAACTGCTGAAATACTACTTAATAGTTATAAAATTAGATGAGGCAAACTCATTTGTCTCGGATAAAATAATTAAAATCTCTTAATTTTTTACTATAATTTATCTATATCCTAAAATCCTTTCCCTGGAGGTAACATGAATGATTTGATAGCCTGTAGATGCTTTCTTAGATCCTGGAAGCCATAAAAACAACAACAATAATAATAATAATAGTAATAGCTGGGAAAAAATGAATTCAGCCATACTTGTAGACCAAGGCAATGTCATTTGAGTATAAAATGGAAGTTAAAATTTTACAGTTTCACATTGTCAAGCTTTTAAATTCAATTTCCATGAATGTAACTTATTAGACAAGAGTCCAATTTGCCCAAATGTTTATTCTACAGCAGGAGAAGTTTGAATTAGTCTAGGAGAAAGTCAATGATGGCATTCTTTATTAAGAAGGGATAGCAGAAAGTTTATGTATCAGAACATAATAATTCAAATATGCAAAGCCCCCCAGCTCTGTTTGGTGCTTTTCTCTTGTTAGCTGTCTCCTAAGATGCATGCTGGCTATAACAACTCAAAATGATTAGCTTACAGCTGTTCACGTCTCCAATCCCCTGGTTTCCACATATGTAGCTTCACTGATTTTATAAGGTGACTCGAAGTACTCGGCTTTAGATGTATTCCCTGATCCAGACACACAGAGGGATTCACTGGAAGTTGCAATTCTGAAAAGATTCACAACAGAAGACAATCATTCTATGGTTTCCTTTTGGAATTGCTTCCAAAATAGTGTACAGCTGGGTTAAACTACAGGGTCCAAGGGAAATATGCAACAATTTTCTCACCATTCTGAATCTAAATTCAATCCATTATGTATAAATATATGTTTAGAGAAGACTGTTTTGCAGTTTGTTCTCTTCTACTGACTAGGAAAACAACTGTAATAACTGATCTCAAATGTTCTTGCTCTGAAGGGCAGGTAGATACAATGTTTCTAACCATCCAACACCAAGCTGATCTATCCTCCTCACAGTTAAGGGATGCACTCTCAATAAGGGCATGGTGGCTGCAGGAGCTGACTTTTGTTTGTTATGAGAATATTACATAGAAAACTTGAGGGCCAACCCCGTGGCTCACTCAGGAGAGTGCGGCGCTGAGAGCACCGAGGCTGCGGGTTCGGATCCTATATAGGGATGGCTGGTGGGACTCACTGGCTGAGCGGGGTGCAGGCAATACCAAGCCAAGGGTTACGATCTCCTTACCAGTCACAAAAAAAAAAAAAAAAAGAAAGAAAACTTGAGCTGATTTCCTAACAATACAATGTTTCATATGCTAATATTTGTCATGCTTCATGACTTTGAAACCTCAACAACAGTGCTTTATTATTTTGTAAAATATTAACTACTGGGTTTTTATTTTTATTTTTTTATTTTTATTTTTTTCCTTTTTATCTTTTTTCGTGACTGGCAACGGATCGCAACCCTCAGTGTCGCGCCTGTACCGGACCGGGACCGGCAACGGGATCGCAACCCTCGGTGTTGCGCCAGCACCTCGCTAAGCCAGTGAGCGGGAACCGGTCTGTATGTGGGATCCGAACCCTCGGCGGGAGCACCGCCACGCTCCCAAGCGGCGCACTGTAGCAGTGCGCCACCGGGCCGGCCCAAACTACTGGGTTTTTAAGTACATAAAAATAAATATCGACAATAATGACTTACTTATGAACATTCATATTGATATGTTTAAAACATAAGAGTTTTGTGTGTAAATGGTTAGAAAAATCAAATTTTAAAGAAAGCTATCAAATGAAAATAGAAAGCATCCTCCAATTCACCCCACTTAGGACCTATTTCTTCCCACCAAAAACTGATGCTTACATATTAATTTCTGAAATCTGCATAAGCACAATGGGTCAATACGTAAATTGATGTAATTGATATAAATATCAATATATCTACATAAACCTCTATAGGAAGGTATTTCTGTTTTTTATATAATCCAAAACAGACATCAAAACGGTTTATGTCTGGTTTATTTACCTATTAAATAATGGCCCAGAGTCCTTTCCATAACAGCATGTACAGAACTACACTGTACATACTTCTCAATGACTTAGAGTGTTTCATTAAATGAATATTCACTTAATTTAGTCATTTTCCTATTGCTATGTATTTAGAGTATTTTTGTAATTTTTTCTTTTGCTATTTCAAAAATTTCTCAATAAGCCCTCTTACACATCTACTTTGGTATACTTTTACAAGTTTATCTGGGAGCATATTCTTATCAATATGTGTAATGCCAGGAAAATGGGTAAAATGCCTTGTAAATTTGCTAGACATTACCAAATTCCCTTCCAAAAAGGTTGCCCCAGTTTCTACTTTCTTCAACAGTAAATGAGAGTTGTCTCCTTACTCCCAAGTTGCAGTGCTTTATTTTCAAATTATCTAATTTATCTAGCTCTCAAAACAGAACAAAAGCCTTTAAATTATTTTTCCCCTTGTGCACTTTTCATCAATACTAACATCGTCTAATTCACAGCACTTCACACTCTTAAGTAAAAGTCAGCAGAAGTCAAGCTGTTCGATGTTTTCCACTATCTCATTATTTAGCACAGTGTGATCTTGCTCAAAAAAATGATAACTTATCTGTATGGCCCTATTAATGAAGTTCTAATACATCATAATAAAGGAAATATTCAAATTGCTCTGTTTTTGGAGGTGACAAATGAAGAGCCATTAAGTTAATTTTCTTTTCTTAAGAATCACAACTTTGAAAAAGTTGAAATGTTTATTTAATCCTTTAAATTTGCAGTCAGAAAATGTGTTCCTAATTAAAATTTCACTAAAGACTAATTTTTTTAGAATTACTAGGAAAAATTTTGTTTATTCAGAAGAGCTAATTTGTAGCCTTCTTTAGTATAATACAAGAACAGTATACTTTACTCTGATTTCCTTTTTACCTTGTGGCCAGGAAGCACAGCATTGATTTGAAGCCCAAGCATAGATGACTTTGAAGAAACTAGACATATTAAGTGTTTCACCAAGGTATATCTCAATGATTTTGAGAAAGTAGTCAAAAAACATGTCAGAAGAATAAAAAAATTTATGTCACACTTTTTCTGGTTTAACTCAAGTGGAGGAGTCTATATCATAAAACTGAAGAAGTCCAATACAGGAATTGTCAAGAATATATCAGACTTCTATGTCAATCCCTAAAATTGTGATTGAACAATGGAATTGAATATTGATTAAAGTGATTCTACTCTTATTTATATATTTATATGTATATCAATAAATTCTAGCCTTTGAACTATATTATTCTAGGCTTAGAGATTACTTATTATGATATTAAAAAACTAAATAAGCATATCTCTGTAATTAGCTGTCCTTTGACATCTACAACCATTCTCATTTTACTTGATTATGGCCAAAAATTAGAAATAAGCTCCGTTAATATTTATCAGCCTAAATGAGATGCATTCAAGGTTGTATAGCCACAGACAGTTCCATTAATATCTTTAAAAGCTGCAAATACATTTTATGAAATTTTTTATAAATAATTGTGAAAACTTTAAAATGTCCTGGGTTATTATCTAACAGAGTCAGAGATGGTCTGGTGTTACCATATTTTTCATTTGGCATATCCATTAAGGGCTCTCTCAATAGGCCTGTCCAATCCACTTGTTTTATTATCTCATTCTCCTACTCCCTTGGCACCCCCCCCACCCCCAACACCTCCAAAGAACCTAGAAATTTCCTACAAGTGATGCTAATACTACCTTCTGCTTTTAGAAGTAATTTGGGAGATGAGGCTCTATGAAATAGACAGTGTTCCAAATAGCTTTCTAATTCATTAACATGTACTTGTTTAAAATGTTAGAAAGTAATTAACTATGAACAGCCTAGTATACATCTTTAGGGCTTTCCTGCCCCACAATATGAGGACTGAAAAAATAATAAATTCAAATGTGAAATATCAAATGGTGAATAGTGCTGTACTTTTATTTATTGACTACTCTTAGCTTATATTAGAGAGCCCCGAAGCCTATTTTAGAGAGCCTCTGATCAGCCAGAGTAAAAATGAGCAATTTGTTGGTGATGCATGGAGACTGCTTTTCTCCCACCTTTTAACATCTGATTTGCTAGATATTGTCTGCTGACTAGGGTGCAGTTTTATGAGCAGGAAGATTAACTAGAATCAAGAGCCCTAGGTTTTTATTTTTATTCTTGCCAACCAATACTTAATGGGCTTGTGACATTGTCAAGGAACCTTCTAGAATCCAGAATTCAATTCCCATGAATCTTCTGAACTTCCCACATCACTGAACACATGCTGACATATAACAAGTGCTCAGTAAATGTTTGTTCTAGCAATGAACTGGTTTTAGGGGGTTAAGCCAACATGCAGTTAGAGAACAAAATTGTATTCCAATAAATTAAAAAGATTTTATTTCGTTACTTATTCACTCCCTGCTATGTGGCATACAATTATATACACCACAAGCAAAGACTAAACACTGGAAAACACTTGTACTAGTGAAGATTAGCTGCCAAATTTATATTGTATTCGACTAAATGATTTTCTCCATAGCTAATAATTAATAGGAAAGTAATAATAAAACTATAATGATGTTTCATAAATGTTCGAATATCGTCTTGCATTTCATATTAAGAAACTAAACTCAGCCAATATTTTCTTATTTTAAAATTTCTAGTGAAGATGAAAGACCTTAATTAAGAATTAACAATTAGTTTTGAGATTAGAGGCATAAATAAGTACTGTTTATGGCTATATTAATTGTTCTTCCTGCCTGCCTAAGGGCATTTACAGGTCTTAATACTTAGCCTGCAGACATAAAAGCTAGGCAAGTACAACCTCAGAACTCATATGTATAGCAAATATAAATTATTATATGCACAAACTGAAGTCATAGCCAGGAAATAACTCTATCAGTCAGGATCCTGGCAGAAAGTGGATGGATGGCAGAGTCAAAGGTAACCAAAGAGTCTATTAGCCAAGAGACTATTAGAGAAGGTACTGTTAACGAACACATGGGTAGAGCTAAGGGAAGACAACACCGGGGCAGTGAAGCTCCACAGGGTTGACAAAATGAGAAGCTCTTACCACTTCCCGCCCAGGAAGGAAAAGTTGCCAGAACCAGACGAAAGGCACAGTAGTGGGAGAGGCCACCAAGCAAGAGTGATGTCTACACGTAAAGGAACAAGCCACTTCCAAGCCAGCGTCCAGCAAGGAAGGAGCCAGGGAACAAATAACCCAAATATCTCTCCTCCTGAGCTTCAACTCCTGCCAGAAGCCAGAGGACAAGGAAGCCCTGTCAGTGCAGTCTGTGGAGGACAGCTTCCTGGAGAAGGGTCTAGAGAGAATCTGGAGGGGCAAACAGAGAAGATCCGGCATGAACATATACTTGCAAAATACGAGTTGTGGACCTAGTCTTCTCCTTACTAGCCACATGTCTGGGAGAAACAAACAAGTGTGTGTGTGTGTGTGTGTGTGTGTGTGTGTGTGTGTGTGTGTGTGTGTACATAGAAAAGGAGTCAGAGAGAAATAATATTGGCTTTGATCTCAAATAAGAGCATTGATATGTGGCAGCAGGGGATGGCTTAGGCTGAACCACAGGAAACTGCCTTTTGATGGGAAAAAAATGGTTGAATATTGATCAAATATCATCAATTTAAGTAGCTAAAATGTCTGTGTATAGGAATGAAAA